AACTAAATGATTAGCTGATAAAGTTAAATTTTATATGCATATTATGGTGCCTATAAGTAGGGATTTCAAAGGCAATGAATATGATACTAAAATCTTGAAAACTGCATCAATTGATGATCTTAAACTTGTTCATTTATAACTGAGATTGGTTCAGAACAAGACCAGAGCTTTGCTTTGAAAGGTTCCAGACCAAAGCCTAATGGGGCTTGTAAAGCGTTCAGTTACCAGAAGCCTGCCTCTACTTTTGTGGATGCAAAGCTCATAATGTCCCAAAACACAAATTTTCCTGTTATGACACACCTAAAGGATTGGAGGCAAGAGCCTTAGGCATCAATCTGGTTGGAGGAATTATTCCCAGCAAGCACTGATTAAACAATGATGAAAATGTTCTTGTAAATTGTAGAAGTGCAACCACAAATTTTCAAAGAGCAGGGAATAGCAAATTTTCACAGGGGGGATAAATCTTTAAAATCCTTATTATTGTAAACATGCTATTTTACAGGGCAACTGTATTCTCATAGAAGGCTGTGTCTTCCTCTGGCACTTCCCTGTGGAGTCCCATGTGAACGATAAGCACATAAGTGACACACACATCTCAATTTTTAGCTAGTTATGGGTGTCTATCATCTCTAAGTAGTATCCTCCACAATCAACAGGCTATAAGGTGGTACTCAGCCTGTGTGGCGGTTTTATTATGTATGTACAGATCAATGATAACTGGAAAAATGTGATTTTAATCACAATAACAAATCTCAAAATTTTCAAAACTGACAAGATTAAACTGCAAACTTACAATGTAAGGACAATCTCTCTGATCAATAAGAACTTGGTAGAATGTATGTGTCCTTCCTCTGACTTCTTTGCCAACTCCTGGACCTGGTTCTTCATCCCCATCTCTGTGGTGGGGTAGATCCCTATCATACACTCTTGCTAGCCACGGAAATAATACAACACCTCTATATCCAAAAACTCTGTGTAGAATCAACTGACCCGTTTCATATTTTCCAGAAAGCTTAGGCTGTTCTAATTTGCCAACTTCTGCTAGTCTGTAATAAAATTTATTCAAGTTAACCTAACTTTTGCAGACTTGTATTTATATGAAATTTGACGATAACTTACCTGACGTAATTTCTGCGAGTCGTTAAAGCTCTAGAGGCTATGGGAAGAAGCTGATTTCGCAGACAAATAAATAAAACGTCCATTTTTCATCTTTATGCGCAATACATCTATCTATTCATGTTATTTTTATCAAAAATTGAGAGCAGGTGAACACGTATTTTCGGCGAAACGTTTTGCGGGGATCAGAACTGATGAATGTGACGGGAATTTGAGCAATGTTTATCTGTGAAATCTGATTCAAAAACGTTTGGTATGCAAATGCAAACAAATGACAACGAAACGTGTCCTCTTCACTGTTGTCAAAAAAAAATCCAAATGATTCTTTTGATAATTAGATTCGTTTTTTTCTCATCTTTATACCAACTCCTGTCAAAGTTAAGTCAAAAGTCAGCAAACGTCAAACCGTAGTGTGTCAAAAATCTTTAAAAACCATGAAAGTAAATAATTAGAAAAGATATCTATTGAAAATGTAGCTAAACCGATAAGTGTTTGAATTCAGTATTACCAAATGCCACAAGACTGATATATCTTACCAAAGGTATGGGAATCCAACCTGAATTTCATGAAACTCACAAATTGCTTTTAGATTTTAAGAACCATGCCCGAAAATCTGGAACTGCAACAACTAGTCGACGAAGAGAATGAGGACGACTTCAAAATCCAAACGTACCATCCGCGCTGCCGCTGCCCGTATTTAGGATTAATTTTAGCAACTTTGAGCTCTCTGTTCTTCTCCCTGTGCTCTGTAATTGTGAAATGGATGACTGATGTAGACCCCATGGCTTTGGCAGCTTATCGGTATGTTGGGGTACTCCTACCGGCGATTCCCATCGTTATATATCGCCAAGAAAAAGTATTTCCATCTGGCAAAAGGATAATGCTGTTGTTGAGATCTTTTACTGGTACAGCCTCACTAATGTTGAGTTTCTATGCATTTCGGCATATGCCTTTGGCTGACGCATCTGTAATAGTTTTTTCTGTGCCTGTATTCACTGGAATATTCGCTAGAATGTTTCTCAAAGAACCCTGTGGGTTGTTCAATGTATTTTCTGTAATACTTACCCTTATAGGAGTAATTTTCATAACTCGACCAACCATCATATTTGGCAATATGGTAAATTCATTGGGAGATAATGGTCAAAGACCAGAGATGTGGGGTGCAGTGGCAGCTTTTTCAGCAACTTTATTTGGTGCTAATGCTTATGTGCTTCTACGTGCCCTAAAGGGTATCCATTTCTCAGTAATTATGGTGAATTTTGGAGCATTTGCTCTGTGTCAATGTCTTCTAGTCACAGTCATCATTGGAGCACTGTGTTTGCCTCCATGTGGGTTAGATAGGTACCTTATAGTAGCTTTAGCATTTTTCAGCTTCTTAGGTCAGATTTTATTAACTTTAGCCTTGCAAATGGAGCAAGCAGGTCCAGTAGCTATAGCTAGAAGTAGTGATATTGTTTTTGCTTTCATGTGGCAAGTGTTGTTTTTCAATGAAATTCCAAATAAATATTCTGTGGGGGGAGCCATACTAGTCATGAGTTCTGTACTTTTAACAGGTCTAAGAAAATGGATTTTAGCTTTGCCACAAGATGCAAGTATTAGGAGCAATCTTAGTATATTAACAAAATGAAAACAAATCATTCATATATATTGCATATCTGATACATAAATCAGACAGTGATATCTTCTCAAAATGACATACCAATAAAAAACAATTCTGTGTATTGAGCATTCTAACATTGTACCATAACTTTATCACTTGTAAGTTATTTATTATATTCAAAGGTTTTTGGCAACCTTATTTATTTGCATGAGCTATCATATAACTTATAACAAAAAAATGCTTTATTCTATTTTAAATAATTGACACACTAGTCAGCATTCTAGTCACTATGTAGGAACAAATTGTTTAGTCCAATATGGTTATGTTAATGTTTCACACTACTATGTTTCTTATGATTTTTGATCAACCTATTGTATAATTCGTTGTGATTTAATGTTCTAGTCATTTTTTTTAAACTGCAAATAGCACATGTTTGTAGATATAATTTGTTGAAGAATGTATTTTTAGCATACCTACACTTATGGAATGTATTGCAGGATTTCAGGCAAAAAGGTTCTAAACTAGAATTCAGTAATAAGTAATGAGACCAATAAATGTATATTCCATATTTTTATGTTCTTGATTACTGTTGCATGTACTTAATCTGTAAATGCTAATTTTTTTATAAGCCCGTGAATATGCTTGTTGCTCCATATAACTAGTCAGAACTGTGGACTGTTCACTGTTAAATTACTTTTTGAAAGCATAAAATACCTAAATAAAAAAATTGATACTAACATCTAGCATTTTCTTCCATATACAACCATATGTTGTTCAAATCCAATATCAAAATTAAGGACACTGGAAGTTTTTTGCTCGAATAATTTTGAACAAACCTACATAAAATATAAATATGGGTAAAACTATATATTGTAGAACGTAAGTGTTCATTTTGAATATCATTTAGAGATGTTGAAAATTGCTTTGTTATTCATACAAACATTTCCAGAAGTAGCAGCCGTTTCTGATGTAAGTTAGGGTTATTATCGGTACGGTAGATTTTCTCATCAGAAGTTGGCGACCAACGTTACTGAAAACCTGAACATGGCGATACAGAATTTTTCAGCAGTATCCAGTTTTGCCGTCTACTGAGGTAAACATAAGAAACAGCTGATCCTTGTATTAAAGACTGTAGTGTTGGCAGTAATGAATCGGGTGTGAATTGGGTAAAACCAGGACCATATACAGAACTGCTTATACATGGCTTGGCTGGCAAACCGTTTTTGTTTTATTCCTACCAGTCATGGTCGACTAAAGACTTTAACAAAATACGAGAATCTACAGATTTAGCGTAGACAGGTTTTTTAGAATTGCGTGTCCCTTGTCGATGTGGGGAATTTTGGAATATTACTAGATAATCAGTTATTAGTTGCTGTCACGGTTCACGTAATGGATAGTCATGAAAGATACTTTAGGCAAATGAACACCCTGTGTATGACCATAGATTCGGTTGATTTTACTCTGGTTAAGCTCATCTCTAATAATTCTGTGTGTTTGGGGGTCATACCACATCAGTGTTGCCGAAATTACCAATTTTTCAGTATTTCTACCGAAATGGGGACTATTACCGAAAACGTCATATTCCACGATTTTTTAAAATAACTCACATATTTCCAGATTATTTTCCCAAAAAAGAGCTGGAACAAAAAATAAAGCTGATCAAAATGAGTTATACGTGGTCTTATGTCACATACCAATCATACATGTGTGTCCACTCAAACAGTCGGGCACGCGAGGAACATAGATTTGGGTTGCCTATAATTATGTACTCATCCCTTACTCCGCTTTTTTTGTTTCCTGTACTACATTTACAGACTGAGGTAGATCACCATCATCATCAAAGTTTCACCGGACAGGCAATAATTAAACATTAACTTACAAATGCCAGATGACGAAGCTTCAATTTTAGAGGTAAAACAAAAATCGCATAAACAATAATGAAGAAAGGAGTTTCCAGAATGGTTGGAAAGGAGTATGAAGAGCTCATTGTATAAGTTGTAATAAAGTAGTCAATATTTTTTCAGGAGAAGATGGCCTGTATATGCGCGGGCAAAATAAAAATGTACTTTTTTCGTAAACGGCGATGTGTGACGCAAAGGCGCTTGAAGCACGACGGATCTTGTGACGGCCCTGATTTTTATCTCCTACCGATTTTGTCCTTGAATGTACTGAATTTCACCTGCGGGCCTTCATTATCTACCAATCTTTTGCGGCTTGGCAACATTGTATCACATATTTATTTTAAATCGGCAACCACCATCATTTCAAATAAACCAAAAAGTGGTACAGACAGCGAAAGATCAAAAGTCAAAATTAAAAAGTTAAAAAGCAAATAAAACAAAAAAGTAAGTTTCTTACGGTTTTTCATAACGATCGGGCGGTTGTAGTGTATTGACTTCTCCATTTTTATCTTATTTCTAGGAAAGGTGATTTATATTTTGTAAATCGTTAGTATTTCGTTTTAACGGGTTAGAGGTTAGATACGTTGAGCAATCTAACCTCACTATAGCGCTCTGGAACGTTCGTTCGTCGTATTTTTCGATAAGGGTTTTCTAACAAAACTGTTTTGTGAATAGTATAATAATTTTTGCAGCTGAAACGATAACTCAACGTAACGAACCATGGCAATGATGTTAGCAACTCGCTTATGTAGCAGAGCAGTGCCTCTTCAAAAGTCTCTGCAGTTGAAACCTTTACAGTGTAAGAGCATTGTCAGGACATTAGCCGATGACGGCAGAGAAGCGGCCGCTAGGGCTGCTAGACGACGTGTTACCCTCAAAGAAAGAGCCATGGCACCAGCAGGAGAAACTGGTAAGCTAAGCTGATCCTGTGTGGAAATAAACACTGATTGTGGGTTTCTTTGTAGCTTTTAACATTGGAAAAGGTGCTTTGGCAGGTGGCTCTGTACTTGGTATAGGAGCATTGTGTTACTATGGTCTTGGATTAGGACATGATGTGGGCGCTTTTGAAAAACAACAGTAAGTATCTTCATTCTAAATTGTAACCATTGGATTCTGGAAGATTGTTTTTATAAGAAAAAGTTATGTCAGACATTCCATATTTTTATTCTAAAGATAGGTATAATCTTTTCGTAACATATTTTAAATTTCTTTAATAATTATATATAATATGTAGAAGCCCTAAAGGCCTACTAGACCCATGGCTTGGCAAGTGAGATTCTTCCATTTCCCCTTATCAACTGCTTTGTTCTTCCATCTCTGCACCCCTATTGCTATTATGTAATATACAAATATTTAAATTTGTTACATAGTATTAGTCAAGGATTCCCTAATTAACATGTGACATCCTAGACAGTCCATAAAGTAGTTAATTGCATTACATCACATTTGTTTACTTTTCGTTTTATAGCTGAGTAGTTGTTACGTGCATTTTTATCTTTTTATATATTGTTTGTGGTATAATTTTCAGTAAAATGATGTTATACAGCCTTTGTTCAAGAAATGTATTGAACCTTCCAACTTGAAGTACATATTCATAGCACCATCATTTTATAAATGTCACTGAAATTGTCTCAAAAATATCATTGTGAATTTTCTTTTACAGCTTGTGGCCTCAGTATGTTAAAGACCGTATAAAGAGCACATACTTGTATTTTGGTGGATCAATTGCAATTACAGCAGCCAGTGCTATGGCAGCTATCAGATCACCTGCAATTATGAGTCTAGTCACAAGGAATGGAATCATGGTAAATATTTTCTCCTAATTAAAACTTCTAACTACCATTATCATTTTTTAAATAATTATAAAACTATAGTATTATAGTTTGTTTATTTATGTGGGATCAACCCCATTACACACACAAAAATATAAAATTCAAATATAATAATACCTAACCAATAACAAACTTGAATTTAATTTTAGTCAACAACAAATAAAAAATCTACTGTCTAGTAATGCTTCTAAATCAAGACAAAGAAAAGCCTAATATTTCGAGATCCTTAGAATTTGTAAGATTCAGTGTCCGCTCAACAAGCGAATGCATAGCATAATTTGTGCTGTGATGATGTAAATAACTGGTTTACTCTCAAATTAAGTGATTGAACATAGAATGAGATTTCGTTAAGGAGCTCAGGACACAGCATCTGGCCATTCAAAAGCATAAATACAAACAATAAATCATTGTGAATATGCTTTTGACCTGGACTCTTCATGTTCAATATATGTATTCAATGCATGATTATATGTATATTCATCAGGAATCCTTATATGAAGCTTATAGAGACAAAACCTAATAGATATATTCTACACTCTTTCGAGGGCTAGATAATCATTCATATTATAGGACCAGATCATTGATTCATATTCCTATAAAGACCTCACAAGTAACATATAATTTTTTATAGATAGCTCCCTATGATTAAGTAACACAAAACCGAAGACTTTAGAAGCCTTAAGTAAAATAGTGTTTATATGTGTGTTGAAACTTAGTTGTTCATCAAAAAGATTAAGATATTTTATGACATTGCTATATTTAAGGTTATCATTTTTCATAGTGTAAGAAGAGTACACCTTTTTATGTATTTTGTAAAAACTAATGTAATTATTTACATTAACCAATATTTAAGGATAAATAATGAAAAACACCAATCACTTGTCTTTTTAAGTGATTTTGCAACAAAATCCTGCTCAGAACCAACCTGATGATATTTAAATCAGCCATAGACAACAAAAATTTTCCAAACAAACTGAAATGTCATTTATAAAAATGTTAAAGAGTAATCAAGAACAGTAAGGTCACCTCAGAGGAAGCACTGCTATAATGAGACCTGGCATTGCCTATCCACACCTGGTAAAATCTATCAGAAAGAAAACTTGTAAACCAAGACACGACACCTTACTGTCAGAAAATCCAAAGAGGATCAATTTTTTCAGCAAGATACTGTGGTTAACTCTGTCGAATGCCTTGGAAAAGTCTGTGTATAATCATTCTCATGCCCTCTTTCTAAGGCACTCAAAAAACAGCAAGTTAGTCACAGTATATTCACCGAGACTGAAACCATGTTGTTCACTAGCAATTCCTTGCTGTAAAAATAAATATGATCATAAATGAGGCTGTTTAAAATTTTAAGAATGGCTGACTGTTAACACACACTTCTGTAATTAACTACATATTTCATCATTGTCCTCTGGTTTTTAAATATTGGCATCACAAAGCTATAAAACCGAGATATTGTCATTATGACATGAAAGACACTTGGGAGAAGCATACTTTGATGATAAAATGCAAAATATGTCGTGAAAAACCTTTTGCAGTATCTAGCATCATAAATTAGAATCTGCACAACAAAAAATTAATACAGTAGTTGACCCGTATTTACTGTATTCTTGCTTACAGATATCGTAATTCAATTTATAACTAAAGCAGTTGCAGTAGCAGATTCTATAAGACATACACTTAATCACACCAAATTTATATTTTTAATTACTTATCATCGGTCATTTAGTAGATTTGTAAGGATAAACAACATAGCATACTGTGTTATTAATTAAAAAAATAGCAGGTCACACAATTCTGAGGTAACACTATATACTTTTTTATTTATAGATAGGCCTCCTCAGTAAAATGAATGAGTACTTTAGAAGGTATTATCAATTTTAACCGGGTTCAAACTAAAAGCATTCTTTTTGTTACACTTTTAGAAGGGTTACAACACGTTCTCATCGCTTCTGTAATGTGTGAAATTAGCCGATACGATCTTCTGGCCTATGACGGCAGTCTAGGTCTCATTGGATTTTCTTGATCCAACTTGCTCCTTTGACTTCAAGTAGTTTTTTTTATATAAGCCGTTTGCATTTATTACATTTAGTATATATTTCTATTTGCAGGGTATGGTGATCAGCTTAGGTGCTATAATGGGTACAGGCATCCTTTGCCAAAGCTTGGAGTATAAGGAAGGCTTTGGTGCTAAGCAACTTGCTTGGATCCTTCATGCAGGCACAATGGGTGCTATACTAGCCCCCATGTGTTTCCTAGGAGGGCCACTTCTCATTAGGGCTGCCTGGTATACAGCTGGAGTGGTGGGAGGGCTCAGCACAATTGCTGTGTGTGCCCCTAGTGAGCAGTTCCTCTACATGGGTGGCCCCTTGGCTATGGGATTGGGAGTAGTGTTTGTCTCTTCCATTGGGTCTATGTTCCTGCCTCCTACAACAGCACTTGGTGCTGGATTGTACTCAATCAGTTTGTATGGTGGATTGCTGCTCTTCTCTGCTTTCCTGTTACATGATACACAAAGGATCATTGCTCAGGCTGAGAGGTATCCTACTTCTCCAGGATTGTATGGAGTCAAGCCATATGATCCTATCAATGCGTAAGTATATTTTCATTTGTAAATAACCAATTATTTGGTAACCAAGTAATTTATGTGTGCACTTGATTGATTTTGGAACATCTTATAATGCACCCTTTGTTTATTGGACTGTATACAATGAAAATGTAGAAAAAGGAGGCATTACATAGTATTTTTGAAAAAAGAAGGGATGTATGGCAAAACGAAACATTCTTTGTATGTGCAAATATATTTAGAATTTCTTCTAATTAAAACTGCATAAAAACCAGTGTCGGAGATATAATTGTTTAAAAGAGAACTCGCACACTTTATACTCGTAGCGCATTGCTTATGCAGTATAATCAGAACGTGGTCCCACAAGTCCTCCAACTTCTTTTGGCTCAAATGGTATTCAACACGCCACTTTTTGCAATACTCGACGCGATGTCCCCTGTTAGCACATCACTGCTATCAGGGCAGTACTAGCTCAACTATGGAGTATGTACTAATTGTATATGGCCTTGATGTTTGGTTGACTTGACATATTTTTTTGTTATACATATTATAGCTCAAAGGGACTAACTTGAGCCGAATCTAATCCTTTATGAACTGCTGCAAAATTGTGGTGGGCCGTATCATACGGCCGTTACACAGATTCCATTGCACAATTTTCTTTGATAGCACTGGTTTAGGCCAGTTTTTTTATACTGCAAATGGGTCTTTTCTATTTAAACAAGTTGCAGGCACAGATGTTTGATGCATGTTGTACAATAAGGTTCAGCCTCCCCTCATTAAACCTTGTCTATGCACGCCACTGATTTTCATCGTGTACTTCTGGTACTACCCATGTTAGATTCTTCTGTTTGCCTAAAACTACAACTACTAATTGTGGCACCAATCATTTTGAGCAAAATTCTTATTTTACTTCTGGAATTATCTGCCTGTCTTTCTCAAAATTCTTTAGCATGTGGGATGAAGTGAGCTCAAAAAAAAATATCACAAATCGTTAGCAACCTCGGACACGAAGTATGAGGAGGATGACCATATACTTAATTTCCTTTTCATACAATGTAAACAAAAATGAATAAGCCTGCAAAACCAGTGGAGCGCATAGGAAAGGTTTAAATATGTTGTAATGAGGTTCCATAGATTCCTTCTCATGCCATATAGTGTTTATAACATAAAGCTTCATGATCTTTTCAGAATAGGGAAGGCTAAACATTTTTATAAGCATAATTTAGGATTTTACCTCAAATGTTCAAACCTAAACGAGTAATCTGACAAGAAATCCTTAAGAGAAAAAAAATATTGTCACGTCTTTCTGAAAGATCCTGAATTTGTTGTAATGGAAACGTACCTTAACCATGGAAGAATTCTTAATAGTCTAATCATATTAGCAAATTTCTCTGAAATAATAATTGTAAAGTCTGGTTTTATTGATGGAAGTTGTTCTGGGTTCTAGGGGGTATTTAAAACATGGGTACACCAATTTTTGCGGGAACACTTTTTATTTGAGAAAAGAGAATGAGAAAACGTGTTTTTTGAGATTCAATCGAAAGTGTTGACAGGAACGAAAAAACTTTTCATATAAGATTTTTAGGTATTTGTGAGACCTACAAAATTAGACCACATGTCAAAAGATCCGACTAATAGCAAAAATGTTATGGCCGAAAAACGAGGCATAATGCAGGCTTTGGCTCTTGTTGGTAACCCTACGATTTTCTACTTGAAATTCCTCAAATCCGTATGATTCAAACTTCTAAATAACACAAACAAAATTGGATTATATTGGTCAAGTAGTTTTGAGAATTTCTAATTGTTTATCCCAAAACACCTGTTTTCCGGCCATCACTACTAGTTTATTGAGCACTATACAGGGATCGTTCAAAGAGCATTTAATAGCAAAATACACACGTTTACCTGGCCGATATGAATCACAAACAATTCCGAAACATACGTGTTATTCTTATGCGAAAAACATGTTTTCTCATTCTTTGTTGTCGAATAAAAAGTTTTCCCACAAAAACAAGTTGCAGCATTAAAACCAGTCTTTACAGTCATTTTGCAAAGCAGGGTTTTTTCATCTAATATGATTAGACTACAATATCTTGATACATTCTCAGATTGACACAAATATTTTTTTAGGTCCATTTCCATCTATTTGGACACTTTGAACATATTCATCAGAATTGCTACCATTCTAGCAGGAGGTGGAGGCCAGAACAAGAGGAAGTAAATCAGTATTCATTTGATCTGTTTTATTTATTTGGATATTTCAACATAATTTTTATGGTACACTTACTTGAATAAATATTTAGGAATCGTTTGTACATTTTGTATATATATATTTTAGCTTTAGGGATAGCGTAAGCAACTTTTTCTTATTATGACAACTTGATCCAATTAAAACTTGTTCTTTATTCTGTAGTGTTATTCAACTCTGACAACAATTTGTTTTTAGTCACTTACAAGGTAGTATATTAATTTGTACAATGGTATAATGAGTAAAAAGACATGTTGAGTGAAAATATAATTCAATCTTACACTACTGAGGTCCAATGACAACAAATATCAAATAAATAAAATGCTCATCAACATTGCTTACATAGTGTCAAAAAAATGTCAATTAACTGAATGTGCTGTATTAGTCCTTCACGTTTTAAAATGTATGGCTATAAATATGACAATCTTCCATTACATATTACTGTGAAAATTAAATACAGGATCTGTGCTTTTTTACGTGATACATTTTTTTTTATATACTCCAGCTACCACAAAGGCCTAAACACCCATGGGGTACCGTGGGGCTATAGGGGGATTCAGGAGAAACATATACATTCTGGCCCCACCTAAGAAATCCGCCGGGTGGTACCTCCGCGTACTACAGTCAGAGACCGCCTACCCCTACCTTTTATTCAATCTTTTTGATATATCATTAGCGTCACATCATTTGGAGATACGGTATACAGGGAAAACTAAATGGCTTGAGTTCAATGTGTACAAGAGAGAAGTATCTCCCTAATGGGTACTGACCAAAATCGCGCATCTGTGATCATGGAGGTGGAAATCTTGCCGTGCAATGTAAGAGATGGGGTGTTTTCAAACGAACCAATGATGCAATGTTGCAGAATTTGTGGCGAAATTGACCTTTCGTTTCGACCTAAAATCAAGCGCCGTTAGGACCGATCCGGAATCGACCCTAGATTCGACACAATTGAAAAATGTTAACGCTCAAACTAAAACCATTATTTGGGCATAGAGCAGCGTTTCTCATCCTTTCACGATTCGCGACTCAATTTTCAAAAATTATTTTCACCTTCAGCTCCAAGAAGTAAATACACATAATATATTGGATACGAGTGATAAAGTTAACGCTTTTTGTAGAAAGTTGGAATTGTGGAGCATAAATTTAAAGCAAAAAAATCTGGGACAGTTTGAAAATGTGGATGAATGTATTAAAACTTACAAGGTTGAAGAACAACACATGAAACTTGTTTAAAAAATATTTTCTTGCCGACGACAAATTAAAACTTAGTTACGAGTAACTCTACTCCCGAAGGGCTCTCAACTGCCGAAGAAGAAATCTTCATAGACTTTGCAAACGCCGAAATCAAAAAACAGTTTAATAACAAATTCCTCTTTGAATTTTGGGCATGCGTGAACGAGTTTTCGGCACTGAAAACCAGAGCGTTTCGTATACTACTACCATTTTCAACATCCTACCTTTTTTACCCCTAGGTGGGCGCGCCCCACAGGTTCAAAAACGATGTCGTACACATTGAACTCCAGCCGCGTCAGACAAATTATGTTTTCAGTGTATATTATTTTTACGACTCTGATCTCGCACCAAACACACTGGCAGTTCAAAAATAATAACGTTAAAAGGGACACTCGAGGTAGTGAGAAGATAATATTGACAACAAGTTAATTTTTGAGAAAACTTGAGTTCAGTTCAACTCGTACCATTTTCCGTGAATCAACATACTACGACTTTTATCGGTGTCTTCACCTTGTAACCACAGAATAAATACTTTTTGAGGGTGTCATGTTTTTACTCAGGGCTAATAAGGAAGATATTAGGCTGTAAACGACATGTGAGGACTAATACAGTGTTTTAAAGATCACAGTTTATTATCAAAAAGAACAGTCCATATATCTAAAAATGCTCTAAATTATGCATGTTTATCATCTTTTTGAAAAGTGAATTACTAACATATTTTTATATAATCTTACAATCACAGAAATACCTGTAATATGTCAGAAGGATTCCTTTTCAGGTGACACTAGTAACAAATCATAAAACCTAAAACAATACCGAGTTGCAAATGCACCATTTCAAATAGGTTTGAGATATCAACTAATTTTAATATTCTTGCTTTTCACATATTCGGGCACGATGTCCTGTATCCATTTACTCTCAATAGTCGTCAGTCCTCTGATATAGCACTTATTCGTCTGAACGACTTCTGTGAATATAACTAAATGCGGCAGCTGTCCATGTAGAACTGAGCTAGGATGAATTTGAACCGTGTTTCGTTTATCTAGCTGCAAATTAGACAACACGATACACAATTTAATATTGTAGTAGAATGTTACATGATAAAAGATATATTTTTTGGATGTTATCATAAATGAATGTTTTTTCACATTGTGAATGTCATATTCTGAATTAAAAGTACAGCAGACGCTCGATAACGTAAACACGGGATAATACAAAATTGCGCTAATGTAAACACAAACTTCGTTCTATGGGATCAAACGGAACGCGCGATAACGTAAACAATGTGTACGCTCGATAACGTAATCAACTCTCGGTGCACGGAAACAGCGCGACGGTAAAATGCTGAAGCCTCGATGATTTATGTCGGGCGTCGGGGAGTCCCCGATTTATTATGTAGAGTATAGGGGATTCACCTCTGCGATAAAATACGACAAACTCGGTCAATCGTATGATCGTTTAGGATACGTTTATACGTACGTATGTATTTCATTTTTGAACTTAAGTGAATACATCGCACGCGTTAATATATTTTACGACTATGGCATCCACATCCTATAAAAGAAAGTGTTTAAAGTTGAGTGAGAAAGTGAAAATCATAGAAGAAGTTGCACTAGGTGCGGGAGTGACACAGTTAGCAAAAAAATATGGAGTATCGAAAGCAACAATCTGTAAAATTAAGCGTATGAAAACTCAAATTTTACAAAGAACGTGGAATACATTTGGAGGTCCGGGAAAAAGAAAAACTTAAAAAAATGCGAAGGCACCTAAAATGGAAAATTCTCTGTATAAGTGGTTTTTAAAACCACGGGAAAATCATGTCTCAGTTAGTGGCAAAGTACTTAAACACAGAGCGAGATTGTTAACTGTTAAATGAAAAACAGAAAGAAACTGAAAATTTCGTAGCTAGTGATGGCTGGCTACAACGATTCAAAACAAGATATGGAATTCGACTGCTGTCTATATCTGGTCAAAAATTATCAGCACAACCACAATTAGTGCAACCATTCAAAGAAAAATTGATGAAAACAATTTCCGAGCTAGATTTAAGAATGGAACAAATTTACAACGCAGATGAAAGTTGCCTTTATTGGAAAATGTTACCAGAGAAAACCTATGCATCATTTGAAAAATCTGCCCCGGGAAGAAAGCCGGAGAAACAACGAATAACGTTTCTAGCCTGCACTAATGATAATGGTTCACACAAAATAAAGCCACTGGTAATTGGGAAAGCAAAAAATACGCGCTCATTTAAAAATGTTAATATCCCTGTTGATTATGACTGTTCAAAAACCGCTTGGATGACTAGCAGTATATTCCTGAAATGGTTCCACAGGTGCTTTATCCCTCAGGTATGACAATCAATTATCACAAATGCTCTATTCATAATTTCAAGATATGTTTTCAATTTGTAGGTAAAAGGTTTCCTAAAACAACAGAAGCTTCCAATAAAAGCGTTGTTACTATTGGATAATGCACCAAGTCATCCTCCCGAGCAACAACTGAGGAGCAGGGATGGGTCAATTTTCGTCATGTACATGCCGCCCAACGTAACACCGTTAATTCAACCGATGGGCCAGAATATAATAAGACTCACCAAACTATACTATAGGAAGTTTCTACTTTCGTCTGTCTTATCAAAGAATCCTGAAAACTTATCTGAGGCTTTAAAAAAAGTAACATTACGAGAAGCTGTTTTAAATTTACATATGGCCTGGAATGAACTTAAGCAGCAAACTATTCAAAAATGTTGGAAAAATCTCTTTTGTACCAATAATGAAGATGATGAAGAAGACGATGTCCCCTTAAGCGTAATTAGAGAACGTTTGCGATCCAATAATGATAATGTTATTAGTGTGTCATTGGATGTTGTTGATTTATTGAAAACAGTGAATCCCAACATAGTTTGTACTCCTGCTGATATTAATTTATGGAACGAAGATACGCAGACGAATGATGCTGATAAGGAGGATATGGACAGTGAGGATGATGAGAAGTGTAGTGTCTGACGCGCAAGCTATACAAGTTTTTAACCAAGCTTTAGATTGGGCTGAAAGAAAAGAAGTTTCATACACGGATATTTTAGTTCTTCGTAAATTACGGGCGCAGGCATTGGAAGACAATGCTAAGCGCAAATTTACGCAGACAAAAATTGTTAATTATTTTTCTTCTAATTAAAAAAATACTTATCACTGTTAGAATATTTGTTTATTTTGTTATAAATAGTATGTATTAAACGTTTCTTTTAATAAATCAAATATTATATAAATCACGTTCGCTAATGTAAACATTTCGATAATGTGAACCACACTTGGATTAAATTAGTTTACATTATCGAGCGTCTGCTGTATATTGCAAACACCATAAAATAATCTTTATCACGTTCATGCAGCAATGTAATTTGGAACCCTTCAGTATGAAGATAGATTAGTTATAAAAACTATTAATATATACTTACAGTAATGTATTGTTTATCCCTATACAATTCAGCAACATTTGTAAATAATCCGGTTATTAAGCATTTACGTAACTGGTCCAGCTGACCACCACACGAGTTTATGCTCAGCCCACACTTGCAACATATCTCTTCAAGCTGATCCTTTATCTCTTTCACATGCAGTATGTTCTTCATGTTAATAAAATGTTCATGACACCAGGCTTTTCTATTGTTCTGTGCTACACTGTTAAACTGTAAAGCAAAAAAAAATTGAAAATGAAAAAATATCCGATGTCTGAGAAAAAATGTGCGCCCGAAAAATAATAAAATCTAATTGCAGAAGTTAAGCATACCCCAAAGATAAGCGATCACTCATGGATATATAAGTGGAAAATATGTTTAATGAAAATAAAATGAAAGAAATTACAGCAACTGATTTCACAAAATTAGCAGAAAAACTTTTACAACACCATGTACCAGAAATTCTCAATAATGCCGACAACTACTTCGATCAAATTATAATATATAATTAAATATATCGAAAATTTTTAGTAACCCAAAGTGAAAATGATTGGAAACAATATACAAAATCAAGAAATGAGTGTGTAGCAGTTCTCAGGAGGGAAAAGAAAAAAATACTATAATAGGAAGATCGATAGAAATAAAAATAATTCTAAAATGATGTGGAATATTGTTTCTCCTACTGGAAAGACTGAATTATCTAAAATGCGTTTCGAAGATGAGGTAGTGACAGCAAAATAAATTATAGCAGAAATAATGAACACTTATTTCATAGACAGAGTAAATCAAATAGTGAAGTCGATTGATGACGGTGATCCAAACTTATGCCCATTACAAGTATGTCAGAATTCATCAATGTATAAATATATATTATAATTTATTTTAACAAGTTGATCTGGATAGATGGTTAAAAAACGCATATTGAAAAAACATTCTATGTAAGAAGTAAGTAGATCTGTAAATTGCACACCTTTGTGCATAAATTGTATTGATGGTGATGATGACACAAAATGCTACAATCTTGCTGTCATTGGATTTGACGATGATGAAGACCAGACTGAGAAAATCGACGACTCATTTGAACAAATGAGTCATACAGATATTGAAGAAGAAGTAGAGCGACCAAATAAAAGATTTAGAATCGAGGATCAAGATCAATCAAATAATAAAATTTTAAAATAAAAAAAAAAAACATAAAGGGTTGTCCAATAGGGGCGCAGGAAAGTAAACGTCAATTTGACATAGACGCCATCTTTGTTTTCTGTCACCGACATATCATTTTGTTAGTTGAATGTTTACCATTGATCGCTATGGAGTCGTATTCGATTGAAGACCGCATTAAAGTTATTCAAGAGCACTACAAAAATGGTGCAAAATTAAAAAACACGTTTCGCGCGCTTCGTGAACATTTCGGTCGCACCAACCGCCCAAACGAAACAACCATCGGTCGTCTGGTGAGTAAATTCGAGGCAACAGGTTCTGTGGCAAATCTGCCAGGCTCTGGCCGGCCACGGAGCGTTCGCACACCGGAAAATATTGCTGTTGTGAAGGAGAGTGTGAGAGACGATCCGAAATAATCAACAACCCGTCGATCCCAAGAATTGGGCATTTCGAGAACCAGTTTGCTCCGCATTCTCCACAAGGATTTGAATGTACACGCCTACAAGATCCAATTGACGCAAGAGCTGCGTCGGGCCGACCATTTTTCGCGCCAAACGTTCTCAGATTGGCTCCTTGAACACCGCCAAATTGATGCCAATTTTTCATCAAAAATCATGTTCAGCGACGAAGCGCATTTCACTTTGAATGGGACGGTAAACAAGTAAAACTGCCGCATCTGGGCGAACGAAAATGTCATTGAAAATTTCGACCATCGCGTGGACGTCTGTAAATCCAGTCGTGGTGAACATTTGAGCGATATTATTTTTCATACATAAATGGTATAAATGAACCTTCAAAATAAAGTACCCAACTTGATTTGAATATCAATCTTTCTTGTTTTAATATGCGTTTACTTTCCTGAGTCCGTTTTGGACAACCCCATATATTAATACACAAAGAATGCAAATAAAATAAATATAAACGAAAGACAAACGTGAATCAATATTTTTTACAATTTATTAGTGTATTTTGTTAAGAGTATACCAAATAACTGAATTATAAATTGTTTAAATAATTTTATTGTGAAATATAAATTGCTTTATTAGAGTTAGAGTAAAAGTAAATGATTTATTGTTAATTTATTATTTCATAGAAATTTAATTTTGAAGAATACCACGTGTTAAGTTTCCCGGGTTTTCCAGATTTTCCAGGAAAATGAAAATGTGCCAGATGTCAGTATTTCGGCGAATATATATAATAAATCGAGCTAGAGCTGATTCCCCACCACCTCTATTTCTTAAAGACCTTTGAACTAATAGTAAAATTAAAAATTGGATCATAATTTCGATTAATGTTTATAAAAGAGATATGATTTAAAAAAATATCTTGGCTCCTATATTGCTCATAGTTTTTTAAAATATGCATTTTTTAATCACCTATTAACTTGTTGAAATAAATTATATTGAAAAATAACGGGGTTATTGTAAATGTTTATAACGATAAAAATGATTATTTTTTAACATCATTTTTAATAACAATTTTAAAATAAATAATATTTTTTGCATAAATTCTTAAAGCTGAAATCTTCAAGAATCCATTTCACTTCTATAAAATGCGCTAGAACCATGTTTTGGGCAGGAACAGATGTTTAAATCATTCGTCTCTGGGATAAACAATTAGCTTTTTACATAAACTATTAATCCGGTCAGACTGAAATTTGGCACACATATTAACACTAATCATGCACTCATTCTCACAAATTTTTAGCCATTTACAATTGTTATTGCAATAGTTATAAACATTTCTTCTATTGCTAAAAAGACCCGTATTTAGCTTAATTGTTTAACGATTTTAATTCTTAAAAAATAAAGTTGAAGGTCTGTTTATGCTCTAAAGTCTAAAGTTTACCGATTATTTATAAAATTTAATTTGAAAATTATACAAGCAAACTACCGAATTTTTAGCTTTTCCCTTAGTTTAGTCGACAATAAAAAGAAACTGTAACAATACTTCATCAATAAATTTGAAAATTGTTGTCTTGCCGCGGTTGGTTTGCAAAACATTGTTTAGTAATATTTACCTCTCTAACTATATTCAAGAGCGTCACTAGATCCCCATACGCTGAGTGAAACTTCTGCCTAACTTGCTGCGCCTGTTCCCGTTTGCTTTGTGGGGTAATCAGTATTGACTCGGCACTCATCAGTGCGACGACTATTAGCGCTTCTTCGAGGCACCCGAACTCTGAAGCGGACAGGATGATCTTGGAGAAATGAGGATCAATAGGAAACTTGTTCATCTTTTTTCCAATCGGCGTCAGGACAACCGATGCGATATTTTCGACGGCACCTAGAAGCACTAGGTGTTCGGATGCCGCTGTTATCGATTCTTTCGGAGGTTTATCCATGAAATTGAAATGCATCGAATGGAATCCTAAAACAATAGTAATGTTAATGTAACCGCTGAAACTTATCCTGTGGCTTTGATGTTGATAGAACTCTATGTCTTTTTACTGAAGGCTACTCGGCTAGAAGTTCCTTTCAATCTGCTTGGCCAGCGTCCAGAAAGGCGGACTGCCGTTGCGCTGTATGTGACGCCTTTTTCAAAGTACAGATCAAAATCTCAGTTCATTTGTTCATCAACATCAAATCAACAAGTATGCAGATTTTTTTTCATCTAAAAGCTAATTGAAATTTAGCTCATTTTTCAAAACGAACGGTTTTTACCAAAGTTTAAACACACTAGGATTACAGCATTGTATAAGGTAGAAAACCATGTCAAAGGATTGTCTAAAATTGTTTTTAATCGATAGAGGTAGTGATGTTTTTTCATTACCCAAAGACAGTAACTGAAGTGATACTGTACATAAATTCGCCCTCTGTATCTCCGGAATTGTAGCTTTTCGCATCAATTCAAACTGAGATCTAGTATATAATCGGTAACAATGTCCTTCTGAGTCTCTACCAGCCCTTCCAGTTCTTTGCCAAGCTTGCTCTTGGGATATTCTTTGTACTTTCAACGTTTCTAGACCCGTCGTTGGATGGAATGTTCTACAACGAAAATTACACATTTGTAAAATATCCCGTGAATATAAATTCAATAATCTCATGATTACAAAGCACTTCGCACGTAGAATATATTAAATACTTTTATAACAAGCTGAATTTTGTATTTTAATAATTGATAGTACGATAAATCATCAATCCTCACACAACAATTGATGTCTAAAAATAATATAACATAAATGTGAAGATATTTTTAGTTTCTTTATATCTAAATTGGGAATTTTTAGAAACGTTCATCCAGAGAATGAAAGCTGAGGAAATGTACTGTTGAAATAGGAATGCAATACTTACACCTTTTTCAGATTTTGTACGAGAGCTCTGAAAATGAAGATGATTTGACGGTTGTGCTATTTCACATCATAAGCAGTGGACCAAAATTATTATACCTCAGAGAAAATCGAGAACTTCTGTTTTTACAATTATGGCTTATGTATGCAGTCTAAAATGATTTCGTGGAGATAATTGTATATGGGTTATTTGTTTTGTCCTCTAACACAGATACTTGTAATCCTGGAATACACTAACAAAATTAAATGACACAGGAACTCAGTCAGTCAGAGATTACTTTGGAAAGTACTTTATTTTACCGAATTTGTCTACCTCTTGGGATGTTTTTTATTGGTGTTGTGAAAAGGGGAGAAATAGCACAAGTGTCAAACAATTTTCCATTCCAGGCACCGGCATAAAATCTGAAAAACCTAGGTAAGTATTGTATATATTCATAAAGTAGTGTAGTTCAGCTTGTTATAGATTGGAGTATCATCATTACCTGACTTTGACCATTCCGCTATCTATCACATATTTGATTCCGCTGATTGTAACACTGGTTTCAGCGATATTCGTACTGATAATGACCTTCCTGGTATTAGCAGGAGATGGTTGGAATATGGACATTTGTTGAGAGTGCGACTGAGCCGCGTACAATGTGTATATCTTCAACGGAGGTCCTATCACGTCTGGTTGCTTGGATAATGTTCGAATTCTGTTGGCACACGTCTCGATTTCTTCTTGGCCAGTCAGGAAAATTAAAACATCATGACTGAAAAAGGAGAGTTTTCAAAGTTCAAGCCTGTATGAATCTAGCATACAACTGAAATGTAAAATCCATCTTCCCTCATTGAAGAATAATATTTTATATATAAAATATTATATAAAAATATAATAATTATAGTTATTGTATCGTCAGAGTATGTAAAAAGACATCCACAAAGACCTAAGAATGCTGTGGATTGGAGTGCCCAGGGAAACAAATATTGTATTATATATACTGTGTATTGCTTGGAGCATAAACCCTATTTCACGAGTATCCATCACATTTTGATGTCTACTGAGATGAGCAGCAAGTAATAATAATAGCGTTTATTTGCAGTTGAAAAAAATTACATAGGATACAAAATAGGCAAAAACCACAAATTACACTAACTGCAAAATCGACCAACAAACAGTCTAGGACTGATCAAAGTACTGACCCAGTGACAAAACACAATGGAGAGCACATTTTTTATAGCCGTCTACGGATAATACAATTCTAACCAATTCATTCCAAAGTGACAAAAAAAGAGAAAAAAAAAGTAGAAGTGACACCTTTGTATTAGTCTGTAACGTTGTCAATAATGAATCTAAAAACTTGCTTTTAGCGTTTTTTTTATGCAAATCAACTTTTCTTAATAAAAGAGTTGTTAGCAAGTATAAAATGAATCTGTTGCGCACAAAAAACTAAAACAAAATACAGCTCTGTCTACTTAACGGATCCGTCAGAATTATGTTTTTCGTTATGGCGAATTTTGTAATATTACTAGATAATCAGCTGTTATTTTACCATAATGGATACACGTGAGAAATAATACATTCTGAACAGAAACATTATGTAAATATATAACTCATTCTTTCTTTTCATGTCTATCATCATATCAGATGCAGTGTACTAACATAGAAGTCACGAATCCAAAGTCCATGATTGTTTTTTCAATAAAACGAGAAACCGATAACTTTTTACGCTGATTAGGAGTTTTTTAAGAAACATTTAAAGAAGACAACTTTAGTCCACGAGAGACATACGCATGATGTTTCTTTGTTTACAATTTGTATGACGTCAAATCATAGTGTTTTCACCGTTTCGTATTGAATGTTTTTTTTTTCAAATTGAACCTATATGTACAGAGTGTTTCAGAACTAAGGGATCAAACTTGTAGGGGTTATTCATATTCATTAACGATTGGCTCAATAAATATTTTTAAATCGACTCTGTCCTATTACTTTCTGGACAAACCCTGTATTCAAGTAAATAGTGACCATATTTATTTATATTTTTTTTAACAAATCATTATAAGTTAGAATTCCTTGTTACATAATTAATTTTTCTCTAGATGAGCATGAAGACATACATTTTGAAGATTATTGAAAATCAAATTAAAAATATGGTCTCTCCTGTTTTTCAGAAAATACAAATCCCTATTTACAAGTAAACCATCTTTTAAAGTTGGGCTAATTTATATAGAAGAAACATACTTACTCTGGGGGAGCATCTTTGTGAATCTTGAAAAAAGTAGCAACACAGGCAGCTTCATAATCATCATGAGGTTTCACAGTATAGTGAAGAGAGACTGGGTATGTTCTACCTTCTATATATACAGCTTGGCAATTATTAAAATACTGTGAAAAGTGGTCTACATCCATTGTTGCAGACATTATTATTATCTACAAATGGTACGGACAATATAAGGAAAAGCTATTGGGAAATTCAACTTCAAATAGAAAACCAACTGCTAGTGTTGTCATTGAACTAAAAAACTTTCCACCTAGATAAAGTTGCAGTTTTTACCCATTTTTTTACTTGCAAAAACTAATCTCTAAGTATGTTGAAAGAGAATGCATTTAAATCTTCTCTTTTTCCAGCTAGAGGAATCACCCAACAGAAATTAATTTTTATTTCAAGTATGGAAAGAATATAGTTTTCAAATCAAACTGCTAATGCAAGAGTGAAAATGCTAATTTTTAATATAATACCTCATTTACAGCGTACAGTACCTTGAGTGGAGGTAAATCCCTGTTTTCCCTAAGTTTTTGAGCTTTCTTTACAATACCAAAAAGAACGTCAGTATGTATAGTTCTCTCGTGAGCTTCATCCAATATTATAACATTGTATTCCATAAGCTGTCTATCAAATATAGCTTCTCTGAGGAGCATACCATCCGTCATAAACTTAATTTTTGTTTTCTTTGAAGTTTCATCTTGGAAGCGCACACTATATCCAACAAGTTCCCCCACTTGTGTCTGTAATTGTAAATCATCATTGTTCAATCAAATTCAAAGTTGATAAACAGTGACGTAGAATGCTTATAAAAAGTTGGTATAACTGAAATCTAAAGAATTATTCTTTTAAAACATCTAAGCATAGAAGTTGCAATTAATTAGAGTCTAAAATGTATACTTCCAATAGTTTCCTATCAACTTTTTTAAACTAAGTCCTATTTCTTTTCTACTGTGGGAACATAAAGTGAGGCAACCGGTAAATATTTTTTAAATACAAATTGTAATGAAAAGGAAAACATGACCTGATTAATATCAATGGTTTCCTTAAAGCTTACCCCTTGCCCAATTTCTGCAGCAACTCTTGTCGCTATACTGATCGCAGCTACCCTTCTTGGCTGGGTTACGCCTATTTTTCCATTCTCATGCATTTGAGCCGAGTAGATAAATTGAGGAATCTGTGTTGTTTTCCCACTTCCAGTTTCTCCCAAAATAATCAAAGTTTTATGTTTCTGTATAAGTTCTATCAGCTTGTTCCTTTTATCGAAGATTGGCAGTTTTTTCCTCTGCTCTTGAATGCTCAATTTTGGTTTATTATTTGGGATAGTAGCCTTGTTTTCTTTACCGTTTAGCTTCATCCGTTTTGGACTCGGTGGCAGGCCATTTTTATTGCCGAATAATATCGGTGTAGGTTTAACTCTTATTTGGAATTTGTTTTTATTGTTCATACCATTCATTTGAGTGTTATTGTTGCCAATATTATACTTTGTATCCATTATTTGCTTATTTTCTACACGTGAAAATTCAAACCAACTTAACCTAATCTAAAAACACCGTATCCGACCGTATCTCATAAAATGTCAAATCAAACGAAACGCACGGGTTACGTCAAAATACGCAAAGAAGGAAGGATATCAAGAGAGAAACTCTTGCAGGGTCCCTAATGCCCGCTACATACGTAACGATATATCGTAGCGATTCATCTGTGCAAACCGATTTGCGCAGATTTATCGATCGTGTGTATGAAAAATCGTTGCAGATTTATCGTTCATGGCGGCAGTTACAATTTCTGTAAGATAAATCGTTGTCGATCGCGTTTGCACAGTTTTATCGTCGCGTGTGGATGACGGCCGTTCAGTTCGTCACAAGCTACAGACGCGAAACTTGCCTTTGGCAGACAAAATCTAAGGACCATGATCGCAACAAAAAAAATGCCGCCTACCACAGACTGGTCGAAAAATACAAAAACATTGATCCAAATGCCAACAGGGACATAGTGGTTAAGAAGATTAATAATCTTAGAACTGCATATAAAAAAGAGCTTAATAAAATAAAAAAATCGCATAAATCCGGAGCAGGAACTGACGAGATTTATACTCCTCACTTATGGTACTTCGAGTTGCTAAGTTTTTTATACGATCAAGAAGTACCGAGACCATCGATATCGAACATGGATGAGGACGAAAATGGGGTAGGCTTTATTTCTCAGAAATTATTTATTGTTTATTGTTACATATTCCAATAGGTATTGTGTGATTATTACATGCTAAATACACTTATGCATTTTTGATATTAAGGTACGTTTTCCATAGCAAGTCTATTTATCCAAATACGCAATCAAGAAATAATCAAAGCTTAGTCTTTGCACCACACACTCCGCGACTTTTTTTTCTTTAAAAACATAACCAGGCCCAATAACGCATGTGCGTCATCATCTTCCATCATGGATGACATGTTTCTTGCGCGAGCTTCTGCGGAGAACTGAAGATCGACGCAGATATCGGTGGCGTGTGGAGACGCTAGGGTATTTCGATTTAACCGCACAGTCTGAAATCGCTACGATATATCGTTACGTATGTAGCGGGCATAACCCAACAATTTTATTCTATAGCTTTGATTTATAGTTTGGGGTCGCGGCAGGTACAATCTCGCCAAGTTTATAATGTTTGAAAATAATCAGATGCGGGTTGCTATTCTATTATTAGATTTAAAGGTAGTAAGATAGTGGTTGGGATGTTAGAGGAGAGAAGATGGAGTACTTGTTTGGTGATGGAACCTGCATTCTGGCTTTTATCATCCGTCTAGGCTATGGTGACATGTGTCATGCTGTCACGTCGTAGCAGCGTTACCAAGTCTACCGATTTTTCGGTAGATCTACCGATTTTGGTCCTGGTCTACCGAACTACCGATCTTAAAGCAAAATCTACCGAAAAGTAGACTTTTCTTTCAATTGCATAATTTTTGTTCCCTATATAAGAGAAATATTTCTGATGCATAGCAATAAAAAGAATGATAAAAGTACTATTATTATTCGTACTAGACCAGATATGTTTTTATTCTCTTTGCTTGAAATTGGTGTGCCACAAACGCAGATTCTTCGCATCTGGGGAATCGCCGAAGATACTCGATGATTTGACTATATCGCCTTGGCCTAGCGGCTCGTGACAAGTCCATGCCTGTGTTGTGCGATTTGTATGATTTCGTGTACTTAGTAATTCCGAATTCGGTCAGAATTAGTATTGCCTGTTTTGCAGTCATTTCGCGTGCATGTGCCCAACATTATAAGGAAGACTGGGAAGAATTGCTAGATTTCCAAGGCTGGCTTAAAAAAGCAATAAAGGGCGCGATTATGCGATATGCATGGTCTGTGATAAAGATATTAATATCAAAAGTGGAAGAGATGCACTTATAAAACACGCAAATGGGCAATTTCATAAAAAAGTGCGAACCAAAGCAAAACAGCAGTCATTTGCAGTTGCAGGTGCATCAAAGAAATTAGAAAATGATATTAAAGAAGGTAAATTTAATTAACCTATTTGAGAAGATTTGAGATTATATAGATTATTTTATTATTTCCAGGAGAAATTCGTATCAGCGCATTTTTGGCCGAGTATAATTTCTTGCTGATGGACCATTTGGAAAAGCAAAATTAGTAGATAATATGACTGATAAAAATTTATACAAAAATGAATCGGAAGAATGATTATCCATATAGCTTACACATTTTTTTATTTTATACACTTTTTCTGTTTTTTTTTTATTAAGAATACTTTATTTTTAGTTAGCTAAAGTGAGATATAAACTGTTTATTTTTGTTTTGTCTTTCTGTTTTAGAGTATATTTTGAGTTAAATAAAATTGTTTCAAGTAAATGCCTTCATTTACTCTTCGGTATCAATCTACCGAAAAACTACTGAAAAATTCCATACAATTCTACCGAAATATCGTCGACTCCACCTGGCAACACTGCGTCGTAGTCATGGCAACGTGAGGGGAATGTTGTCATGCCCTCAGGTTTTGTGGTTTTTCGATTTTTCCCTGCATTTTCCCCTCGGCGGAACGAAGCCGTGGATTGGTTATGGTTTGTTGACTTTTGGTGGACCGATGTCTGTTTGAGGTCTGAGGTTGCAGATAAATTGTGTCCGTGACCTAGCAACACATTAAAGTCGCCGAATTTTCTTTGCTATCGCCCTCAATGTTTGAAATATATACCTTCATGTTTTGTGCTGTGACATATACTCGATCGAAGACCTATTTTTAGTCCCTTCTCCCTTCCCTTGTTTTCATGTCATGCTATATGTTATGATGAGAAAGGACCATAAACACACCTTGTTTCAAGTACAATGTAATTTAGGAGCTAATTAAGGTGTGTTACTACCTCTTGCTTTTTGATGATCTATTTATTCCAGTTCATCTTGTCCCTTAAGCAGCCAAAATGGTTCGGGTGATATCTGTGCACCACTTTGCAAATCAACATGTACAAGTCATTGAACAACCTACAGCTTGCACTGTGGCCCCACCAAATAGACTGCTTTCAGCACTCATGAGCAATTGTGTAGAAGTAAGGGACTTGAACAATGAATCAGATGTACTCTTCTCATTTCCTACAGTTGACGAAGTAATACAGATAGTTCACTGTATTAATGGCAACTATGTCGCTACTCTTGAGACCAAATTCAATCGTCAGAATAAGGAGATTAATTTTGTCAGAGTGTATATCAACTGGGATAGCATTGCGACCCTGCAACAGTCTAAAATGACAAGTAGCGGAGTTAGTCTTGGGTCATCCGAATGTGGAATGGTGCAGCCTATGAGGGCAAGGATTGCTGGTAGAGTGACACCCACTACAAATCAGTCAGAGTTAAGCAGTCTTGAAATGATAGAAGTGCCTGTGAAAAAGAATCCCAATGCTATCGATTGTTGTCAGGTGAGATAGAACTTGTTTTTGAGCACATACTGTTTTCATATCATGATGTAAATTTGAAAGAGACAAAATTGTACAGACTAGTAATATAGCTTTCATTCATCTGACCAAAGACAGCCAGCAATGGACAGCTGGTGGATAACAAACAAAAGCTGAGTAACTCTACTCTGTTCAGCATATAAGCTTTATTGAAATAAGACATGATGTTTCTGCTTTTGCAGTGGTTGGTTATGGATATAGATGTCACTTTGTGCTGACTTTTTGATAAATTTGCAGTTTTATATTTGTTTCATCAAAGTTAGTTTTATTTTTTTATTATTACACTTGTGGTTGATAAGGATATTGTTTTCAGATATCAGGCAACCTTTTGGTACTTTCAGAGAAAACAGTTACCTTGTATGCATTTCAAGTGAAGGTTCACGATATCTCCAAACTAAGATTCATAGACTTTGAAGAGTTGCCACTGACAATTGAGTTAGCCTTCCACCCTTTGCAAATTTTGTTATGTGAAAATTACATAGCATGTGCAAATAAGGATAGCATGCATCTTTTTAAAATTCTTGAGAGTGGTAAAGAATCCGCTGATATCAATGGTACTACTGAAAATGAGTTTAACTTTATTTGTAAGTATGAATGGTCAATTTATTGTGAATTAGATTGCATTGCCATACATTTACTTTGGGCTAGATCAGTACAGTATGTAACAAGGCAACATCACCAAATTAATTTGGATGACTGTACATGATAGTTAGAAGCAAAGTGAAATGAGAATTATTTTTTACATGTCCTAGATATGGAACAATAGATCTAACAAACTTCCTTTGCATTACATTTTGCTGAAACGTAACATTTTGTTAATTGTACTTGTGTTAACCATTTTAGATCCTAATAATGGTCCAATTGACTACAGGAAGCTATTGAGAGAAGAGATGTTACATACCACCAAAGATAAGATAACAGTAAATTTACCTACAATTGTCAAAGAAAATAGTATAATACACAAAAATAGTCCATTTACATTCAGCGATAAAGATATGATAGCAACAATCACATTGTCTTCTATGGAAGTAAGTAATGCAGCCCTTCTATGAGTTCCTTAGCATGGTAACTTCTATGTGTTTTATAAGAAACTGAAACCTTTGCAAATTGATTTAGGCAGTGGTGGCTCATGGCAAAATAAAACAGGTGTTCTGCAAATCCGAACTTACTGATTTTTTATGTCAGTTCGATCCTGCGCTCCTTCTTGGCAGCAAATTTGTTGATCACCTTCCCGTTGAAATTTTCCATGGTTGAAATAAATTCCTTTTCAATGAACAGCATCGACAACGCTGTAAGGCGATCCTGGGTCATAGTATTACGAAGAAAAGTATTGATTCTTTTCAATGCTGAGAAATTTCGCTCAGCCTCTGATGTTGACATAGGAGTTGTAACAACAATTTCTAATAGCTTTTTTGTTTCTTTTAGTGTTTCCTCCAAACTATTTTATATAGAAAATTTCAAAAGAGACAGAGTTCCATGCAAATCTCGACAATCATTCCATGCATAAATAACAGACAACTCTGTCTTTAAATGACTTTTTTCTAATTCGGGATAAGCCAAGCAGGTAGTTTCCAACTTGTCATCAGGAAACTTACCACAGTATTCTCCAAAGTGTTCGGGGAAAAAAAGGGATGCGGCTACCAAATGATCTTTGAATTGAAATCAGTCATTTGCAGAATTCACTATATTGTCGCATACTTCTAATGCGGTAACTCGGTGATCGTGACTGCTATTATTACGTCGTCTCTTTTTGTTGCCTTGAGGTTCAGTGCAAATACTTTTGGCTTCATTTATTATGTCATCAATTTTATTTCTCACATCGACAGTACATTTTTCAAAATTATCGGTGGCCGTTTTAACTTGCGCTGGCTCGGTTTTTTTCTTCTCTCTCTCTTTTCTCAAACACTACATTTATTGTTCGAATATTAAAATTCCAACGAGTTGTTGCTCCTTGGGGAATTTTTTTCCCCACAATTCTGTTCAGTACCTCTACGCGTTGAGGAGAATCAATGGTGGGGGATAAGATCGTCGTGCTCAAGGCGTTTCTGAATAAAATACGGTCACGGTAGCGTGGCGTAAATGTAGATGGGCCAGTAAGGGTTCAAATCTCATTGACACTAGATTTTTAGATTATGGCAAGTAGACCACTTCTACTCTCAGCCAGAATCATCAGCCATCTAGCGGCACGGATATTAAACTCGAACTGAGATCTTTGTCAGTTCCAACTGATAGCAGCGGTGCGCGATCGATGCTAGTGCGATAGATGGCGCTTTGCGCTATCTCATACTAGATTTTTCTTCCTTGTATGCGGCATTTCACACGAACTCGTGTTCGAAACTAGTTGAGGATTGTTGAAACATTGATGGTACCAGCAGTGGTAGATCTTTTCATTTTGCAACTTTGGCGTGTCCTAACTTATACAATGCTTTACAAAAAGGTCTTTCCCCAGCAAACTGATATTTTGGGTGATGGAATTGATGTTTATTTTATTTCAGCGACAGTTGAACATTTCAAATGGCGAAAGGGTACCATCTTGAAACATTTTATTAAATAGAATGAGGTAGTTATGTACCTCACTTAGAGGCTCCTTATAAGTTCTTTTTGATCCCAGAATATAAAATTGCTATCTTTCAGCATGTTATGTCAATCATCTTCACTTGGAAGAATCTATCTATCTATCCAAATAGACCTTTCCAAAAGAAGAATATTCATATAAAATAAACAATCCAATGTATAAAAACGCTCAGTTTTGACATTCCATCAGTCTGCTTTTCTGAATAATAATAATAATAATAATAATAATAATGTTTATTGGAGTATTAATACATAATAGAATCAAAATAATAAATTTGTGGTGTCAGGCTATACAGTACTAACACGGAGTTCAAAGTGAGGTAAAACGTTGCTATCTATTCCATTTAAGGAAATGTCGCCATCTTCAAATTGTAAACTGTCACTTTCATGTTAAAATATAGAATTCATGCATCACATAATTCCAAATTTCAGCTTGCTGACTTGGCTCAATCAAAAATAAGTGGGGGTAGGCTTTTTGAAAAGCTCTGTATGTATTTATTTACAGAATAAAACACAAAGCTATAGGATAGAAAATTTGATACAACTGAAACTTATACCAATTTTGATCGAGAGTGCGCAAAGACAGGTGACAGAAGAATTCAAAAGTATAGTGTTAAAACCTCTACACATAGATCAAAACTTGAACAAATCCAAAACCGGACCTGATTCGAGGTTTTTAAGAAGTGATTATAATAAATGCCTTAATAGTGTAGTCTGTGTTGTTGCTACACAGCAGGAGGGATATTTATATCATTTTGATGATGCAGGTAGATTATTGTTGACTCTTTTTTCTACATTTTCATTACGATTTATTTTTTTTTATTGTACAGTATTAGACAATTTCAAGAGGTTGTACAAAATCCTGCTGAAGTAATATAGAAGGGTTATGTCTGTTTTAGATCCCTGCATAGACCGAGACAACTGTTTGGCAATATACCCATTCACGGCACCTGTATTCAAAATTGTGATGGAAGATTACTTTTTACATGCTCTAACTGAAACAGGCTTGGAATCATATACGCTGAGATATGGACATCAAATGTGCCGAAATTTTGATGTCGTCGATAATGTTAATGCCGTATGTATCTCTACTTCTGCATAATACTTTTGTAATGTATCTATATATGACTGCAACCTAACTATAGTACGTATCACAAAGAAAATAATACAGTTAACTGGTTGTATATTGGCATAGAACGAGGAATTTTCGGTATGATACGCGACTTTTAAAATAAAAGGGGATAATTTCGGCAGAGATGCCAATTCCATATTGGAACACTTGTCTTTAAAATAACTGTGAAGTATGTTGTGATGCAGTCTGTTGGAGTTCCGTCATACGAGGGTGGTCCCAGAAGTACTCGGCCTGACCTAGAGATGGCGATAGTTGCTTGATAAATATCATTCTATTAGAAAGTATGCAATCTATAAAGCATATGTGTCAAGTTTGAAGACGCCACGTTGTTTAGTATTTGTTTGGCAGCCATCAATACTGAACGTTTTACAGTGAATTTGTGAAAATGGAGAAAATTGGTCATCGTTATGTGGTACCATAACTTTTATTTCAAATGCCTCAGCCCAATCAATATAAAAGCTGAACTGGATTCTACTATGGGTGAGTCTGCTCCTTCATTTACAACAGTAAAATATTGGGTAGCAGAGTTTAAGCGAGGCCGTATGAGCTGCCAAGACGAGCATCGCAGTGGTCGACCAAATCAGGTGACGACTCCAGACATGGTGAAGAAAATTCATAAAGCAGTACTGAATGATCGTCGACTGAAAGTGCACGAGCTGGTAGACATAGTAGGCATTTCAAAAAGTGCGGTTCATCGCATATTATCTGAAAATTTGGACATCAGAAACCTGTGAGCAAGATGGGTGCCGCGATAGCTCACAATCGAGCAAAAAAAGTGTCGTGAAGATGTTTCAATTGAGTGTTTAGCGAAGTTTCACAGCAACAAAGCAGAATTTTTGCGTCGTTTCATAACCATGGATGAAACATGGGTCGATCACTTCACACCCGAGATAAAAGAACTATCAAAACAATGGACTCAAAAGGGACAACCGGTTCCAAAGAAGGCGAAGACCGTGTCATCTGCAGGCAAGGTTATGGCGTCGGTTTTTTGGGATGCGCGTGGGACAATTTTCATTGACCATCTTGAAAAGGGTAAAACTTCCAACGGCGCGTATTATGCGAACTTATTGCAACGTTTGAGCGATGAAATCAAGCAAAAACGGCCGCATTTGGTTAAGAAGAAAGTGTTGTTTCATCAAGACAATGCACCAGCTCACAAATCCGATATTGCAGTGGCCAAAATTAACGAATTAAAGTTTGAATTGCTACCTCATGCACCCTGTTCACCAGATTTAGCCCCCTCGGATTACTTTCTGTTTCCAACCTTGAAAAAATGGCTCAGTGGTCAAAGATTTTCCAACGATGAAGAAGTGATGTCGACAGTTAATAGCTATTTTGAGGAGCAAGACAGTTCTTATTATAAAAAGGGTATCGGACTTATTGAACATCGATGGGAAAAGTGTATAGAGCTCAAAGTGATTATGTTGAAAAATGAATACATTTTTTTACAAAATTTTTGTTTTCTTCGTTGGGTCGGGTACTTCTGGGAATACCCTCTTATGTATACTGTTCCGGAAGTTGCAGTCAAGCCAGACACGGGGATACGCCAACACATTAGTTATCAGTTATTTTTCAAGTTATAGGTTTAAAAAAATCACATGTTTACTTTCAAACCATACTGTGATCTGTAACTGTGTAAATTCATGTAACCTTCTTTTTTAAAAGTCGACTCGTCAGTTCATAAAATTTTCTCTATAAATCGCGGATCTTGCCGGTGTCTCTGTAACATTGTTTGACAAAACTCATCTCTTGGATCATAATCCCGGGTTGTAGAGATTGTAATGGCAGTACGTGGTATGTGTGGAGCTCGTTCTTTTTCAAGATTTGCTGGGTTATAACTTTGGCCACTCCCGTGCTAGCTTCTATTTGACGTACTGTAGTACGTGGGTCTTCTTCGACTGCGAAATTTTTCCTCCACCATGTGTTTGATTTGAGAATCGACCCTCTGAGAGTATATGGTGCACATTTACAAAGACCCTGTCTAAGAAAAAAATGAAATTTGTAGTAATGGGAACTAAGAGATCATCATCATCATCAAATTGATTGTTGCTTGAGCTGTGTGGCATGTGACGCCGACCTGCTGGAACCAATAATCGTCCATCTCATTTTCACAAACAATTAGTCTCAAAAAATTCGTTATCATGGCTCGATAACGCTCACCATTGATGGTTACTGCAGCTCCATCGTCTTCAAAAAAATACGGCCCGATGACCATATTCGCGCACATACCGCACCAAACAGTAGCTTTTTCGTCATAAAGAGGCTGCTGTTCGATTAATTGAAGGTTTTTGGTAGCATAAAACCAACAATTTTGTTTACTTACGCCTCCATGTAACGAAAAATGTGCCTCATCGGACATGATGATTTTTCGCCAAAAGTCATCTTCATTTTCGGCCATTTCAATGCTCCATTTAGCAAAATCAAAGCGACACGGATAATCCGCTGGGTTTAAAAGATGAGCCATTTGAATTTTGTATGGAAACATCTTCAAATCCTTATGCGTCGGATAGTGGTTCGAGCGATGTCTAACTCTTGATAACGATGACGACCGGATGTTGATGAAGTCTCTTCAACACTGGCTCGTACAGCTTCGATATTTTCATCGGAACGTCTTGTCCGTTGTCTGGATAGGTGACTGGCATTACTAAGACTACCGGTATTCACAAATTTTGCGTATAAACGTCTGATAGTGTTATCAGCTGGAGCACTTTTAACTTTATTTTTTTCTACGAAACGCAGGTTTAGTTTTCATGATTGAGAAGTTATTTTAAATGTACAACCGAATAATTTCTGCGCGTTGTTTTGGTGTACTGTTCCATGGTTAAAGTTGTACTGAAATCACGCTTCCAACGCGGTATGACATTAGTCGATCTGACAACTAATGTCAAAGATATAGGGTTGCTTGATGCTTCCACTTTAAATGGCCCACCTTGTATTTGTTCGATTTTTCCAAGTTTTTTAAAGCCTATAATATGAAAAGTTCACGACTTAGATTTTTTATATTTTTCTGATAACTATTATGACTTGGCCTGTCCCCCGTTTCCGGCTTGATGTCGACTTCTCTGACTCCCTGTAATTATGCAAATTTATTTTTAGGCATGTCCTCCTGTCACGGATTCAATATGTCTAGTTGGTTTGCGACCATTCTTAGGTGTAGAACAGATATTATTAGCTGAAAACCATTTGGTGTTGCTTGCAAATTCCGAAATCTCACCTGCTCATTCTGTCAGCTCCAATAGCAGGTACTAGTATTTCACTAACTACTGCCTTGAATCAGAGTATCCACAGAGTTTTCCGCATACGTAAACGTCTCGTCAATTTGCCACAAACGTGCATCAATTGACTTTAACATCAAGCAAGGTTAACATTTACGTATGCGGTATTTGTAATTTCCAGAATTTTCTAATGCTTCAAAAATATCTTTCTAATTGCTTCTAATGTTTTAGTTCAAACGCATCATTTCTCACTCTGTACAATTTGGAATTGCCTGCCCCAAAAATGATCTTCAATGATATATCGATAGTGGCTAATGTTCATCGTTTCACTTCCGTACAAACCTATTGCCATCTGATGAGTGAGGCTCACATGATTTTGAGGATGGTGGTACTACTAAAAAAATGGTGCTTAACCGATGAAAATGTTAAATTAGTAGTGCCGGTAAAGCTGAACAACGACGATGTCATAGAAACCTACAGAACCTCTTGTGCTTTACTGGGAGATCATTTCATCATGTAAGTTTAATGTTTCATGTCCTACAAGTTATGTGTTTTACGCTAAAATAACGTTCTAGGCGCAATAATGAAAACGAATATAGTTTAGCAATACCTTACTACAAAATGGCAAGAGTTCTTCCACACGAGGTGTTAAGAAGGATTAAGAAAATCCAGGAGCAGTCTGGAAATCAGGTATAACTTGTGTAGCATGTGTACCAATATGTTTGTACTTTGATAAAAAAATACGTTCCTAAGAAAATTGCATCATCTTTCTTTATTTCAGTCGACCAAAGGTCTGATGTACTACTTGAAAAAGACCCTATTGGAAATAAACTCTGGTGTAGATGCTGATAGACTGTTTGGGCCAAATTCGAAACAAAACTTTTCAGAAGCCATATTTGAGTTACTAGAAGTTCATGGATATGAAGATCTCCCGAATTTGATTTTGAAAAGTAGAATTATTAGAGAATACTCGACGGATAAGCTGATCAGCATCTTGTCTAATAGAATCTCAGAGTAAGTTACATGATTCTTGTTTGCATGTAAACGTTTTTCTGACGTCCCAGAAGCAGACGTCAAGCCGGAAACGGGGGATAGGCCAAGTTATAATAGTTATCAGAAAAATATAAAAAAATCTAAGTCGTCTACTTTTCCAATTAGAGGATAAAAGATCATCACAGTGTGTAGATTTTACCGACTTTTGTTAAAGCTTATAATTTCGAAAGTACACGGACTTAGATTTTTGTATATATTTCTGAAAACTATTATGACTTGAGCTAGCGGCTCGTGGTCTATGATACAGGGGGTTCACAAGTGGTATGAAATTATTTTTTTTTCCACCACCAAAAGTTGTTTCTTATGCGTGACGTAGAATGCAATAAGAGTACTAAAACAAGCATCAAGGACACATTTCTTGTTATTTTTTTTATTATACACAAGAAAATACATTTATAAAAAGTACAATTTTTTAATGAGTAGAGTGCTTAAACGTAAAGTCCATTCTCCTGTTTTTATTTGCAGAAAATTTATCAATAACAACCTGATTAAAGTTTGGAATACACTCTATAAATTTTTTCTCGATAGAAAGGGGTGACAGTCTTTCTTCATTCATAGAACTTCGCAAAAATGTTTTTATTCTCTTCAATGTCGAAAAGCATTTTTCACTTTCGGCCGTAGTCATTGGTATGGTAACCATTATTTGTAAAAGTGTAAAGGTGATAGAAAATATCATCCGAAGATTATTTTCTATAAAAAACTGTAACAATCTAATGGAACCTCTCATGTTTCGGAAATCATGTCGCCGGTAAATTAATTCCAATTCAGTCTGGAGGCGAACTTTATCTAAAAACGAATATGCTTCTACTACAGTTTCCAAATATTGCAATGGAAAATTGTGTAAATTTACCAGAAGAAAAAAGAATAGCTGCATTTAAATGTTTTGTAAAAGAAAATCTATCTGTTACGTGTGCAATTATGGTATTACAAACTTCCTTGGCTGCTACAGTTCTGCAAATATGCTGGTCTTCATTTGCACGACACCTTTTAGTTTGAGTAGTAGTGGTATCCTCAGAAATTTCAGTTTCAATTGTTTACAAGCAGTCTCTCTTTTTTTGGATGCAGTTTTTAAAACACTTTATGGCAGTCTGAATTTGCACTGGGTCACTCACTGTCTTTTGTAACTGATTATATAAAATATCAGCATGTCGCAATATTCGATGAAATACAGTCAGCCAGAACACAAACTTAGAATCTTGTAACATACCGCCGATACCAGTAGCTTGATTGGTGGTAACAGTTTGTTTTGAAGTAGCTTCTATTTTTTCCATGCATTCTATTAACAATTCGCGACATTCATATACTGTATTTTTAGATCTGCTTTTAAAATTCCATCTTGTAACAGAAGACCTAGGAACGCTTGCACCAACAATTTCATCCAAAACTGCAACTCGTTGTGGAGAACACTAGCGCCGTCATAACTTTGAGCTATAAGTTTCTCTGGTTTATCTAGCACTTGTATTAAATTAGTTTTCACACATCGGGCCAGTGGTGACTCACCAGTTGAGAGCTACGAGATCGGTTTGATGTTATACGATTAAATATCAGGGAGGCTCGGACTTTATTTGAGAAATTATTAAATGGATATATATATATATATATATATATATATATTTTGAGACGTGGTCATTGTCGTCTAGACCAGTTAGGTGAAAAATTAAAGCTTCCGCCTTTTGTTGGGTACTTCGACAAAATTTAAGCAAAGAGGACTCTTTATACTTTTTTTAATTCTCTCTAGCTTTCAATGGACTTTGCCATCATCATCAGGAGCTGCAATTACAATGATAACAGTAGCAACAAAAGTGTAAAATGAATTTAAATTGACTCAACTTACAGTAGTATGTGAGGATGTTGCTAATTGTTGTTTACGTATAGGATGATGGAAACGTCCAGTAACATGGTGAGAGCTGGATAGATTGTACAATGGTCAAAATTATATAAAATATGACAAGAACAAGTTAAAAACAGATTGAAAATTATTTAAAAAACATTAGAGCATTACATCGTGAAGCCACTTGATGATTGCACAAATTAGTGGTCATGGAATAATGAGTGAGATGAAACCCTTTGACAGAAGGCCGAAGGATGTCAATGTCTGTGTTGAAACATGGAACGAATTGTGGGCGTGTGCCAAACGTTGCCAAATCACTTCAGATGATGTGATTTTCAGAATTTTATGTAAGAATTTGTTAAACCGACCAGAGGCAGTTGAATAAACTATATTTTAATTAATGGGAATTTAAATTAACAATTATTAATAAATCGTGAGAAGAGAATTATTATATTTTGAGTGGAATGAAATTTACTGGTGGAATCGGCCAAAACACAGATTCTAATTATGGTTGTGAGGAGTCGAAATTTGGGGAGATATGTAAGTTCTCCAATTTTTTGCAGTTTAGCAAATATGAGTAAATGACACTCAGTTGTTTAACATCTGTCTTTTTGTTGATACAGTTGTTATTCATGAAGATGTGGGACATTTCCAGGAATAAACGTTTGGAAAGGTGTTTTTCTTTATCAAGAACTTTGATACTTGTGTAATTCATAGAATGCCCTGTTGTGTTAACATGAGATGCTAGAGCGCATCTTTCAGGATGAAGCCTAGCATCACTTTTGTGTGATGTAATCCTTCCTTTAAGAGATCTGGAGGTCTGACCTATGTATATTTGGTTGCTGCTTGGCTTAACCAACACAGTCTACTCCATCAATTGCAACAACTGCACATACTACTGTAAGTTGAGTCAATTTAAATTCATTTTACACTTTTGTTGCTACTGTTATCATTGTAATTGCAGCTCCTGATGATGATGGCAAAGTCCATTGAAAGCTAGAGAGAATTAAAAAAAGTATAAAGAGTCCTCTTTGCTTAAATTTTGTCGAAGTACCCAACAAAAGGCGGAAGCTTTAATTTTTCACCTATATATATATATATATATATATATATATTATTTATTTTGGGGGTGCACGTGCTGCCTATCCCGCGTCTCCGGTTTGACGTCGATTTCTGGGACACGCTGTATAAATTGCAAAAGACTATTTAGCACCACTTAAAATCCTTGAGAATCAAATATTTCTTTAAAAAAACTTACTAATTGGTCAACCAAAAGAGAAAACTTCATTGCAAGGGTTTTCTAGAAACGCGTGTGAGGCAATTTTATTGAATGTCTTCAGTAAGTATTATGTAAGTCTTGCTAAGTAGCTGGTTCTGATATTTGTGAAGCTACTATCGAAGTATATCACGAGTCTGACAGACGTTTTTGTCATTGAACTAATAAACAAGTTAATCGTCAAAACTCCACATGTGATTTGTCGCTGATTGCCTTTTTTAACATTTCTAGGAAATCTCCAAGGCTGGCTGAAAAATACTTGGCATTAGCGATTTTATATATCCAGAAATGCAATACCAACAGTGCAAAGGAAAATATAGAGAACATTTCACAGCAAAGCTTATGCGACTTGCTTTTAGAAAATTATAATCTTGTCTTTGAAACAACATATTCACCACAAAGTAAAAGCAAGGGAGTTACCACATTTTCTGAATTGACTATCCTCTTGATAACAGTTTGCCCTGAATTACTGTGCACAATTTTTGTTACTCTAGTCATTGATAAGAAGGTTATCAATCTGCACAAGTTGCTTAAAGTATTTATAGAATATTTACCTTCTAGTATAGGCAACGACTGTAATTTTGCCAGTGTCGTATTGCAGAAAACTTTGGAAAACTATTTCGAGAGGTACTTTTCTAAACCTGAAAACATAGATTTGTCAAAAATTATATATGAAAGGGGAGCTGGAGAAGCTGTTAAACTGCTGGTGAGATCGTACTTGAGCCAGTTGCAGATATTGCAAATGAAGGAACAGCAAAGCAGTAAAGATGGGAGATATGTAGCGTAAGTATCAGGCACAGCTTACTTAATATCTTGGAAACTTTACTATAAAGATCATGCAAGTAGCTGCCATTTGGGTAGAGCATTTATATCCCCGTTTTGCAGACCCCGAGTGTACCAACACCCTACTCCACATACAGTGGACCCCCGATAATCCGGCCCCTGTCTAATCTGGCGCCCCCTGTAATCCGACATGTCTTTGAATATGTATTACATACATACGTATTTGACAATCTTCGCTAATGTAGATCACGCAGGTTTGAACAGGTTACAACTTGTGCGCGCCACCGCTATCGTGCTCGACGCGTAAGCATCGTTTTACTTAGTTTGAATTTGACTACTGCTGATAGCGGTACGGCCTAGCGTGCGTTCATTGTTTACTATTTATACATTGTGTATTAAGTATAGCACCTAGTAATGTCATCACAAACTCAGAAGAGAAAGCACAAAACATTGACAATTAAAGAAAAATGTAATATTTTAGACCGCTTAAATCGCAATGAAACTTTCAGTAATTTAGCAAGTGAATACGGGCCGATCTACAACTTATGACATTAAAAGAAACCACGAGAAGATCAACTATCGCTTATCAACTAACAAGTCGCATTTTTTATCAGCACAAATGAAAACAACGACAAATACACCTTCGACGAGGACGACGACTTGAACAAAGATAGACATCAAGAAAAATTAGGTTACAACCATATAAGCCAGACCTACTTTGAAGAACAAAAGAAGAAACCGAAAGGCAGCTATCTCTTCTCTAATTTTCGGTATGAGTACCTGGATAAAATGCCCCCCTTCCAAATAGACATCACCTCCAAGTTGTACGAGACTAGCGTGGAGGATTATCCAGTAAAGCAAGAGTGGCAACCTAACGAAGAAGCAGACTTGGTGTTGAAAAAGTTGCAGGCTTTACTGTGCAGCCAGGTGGTATCAAAACAAGTAATGACAGAAGTGAATACGTATTTGTCCGTCAACGAAAATCTCAGAGGAAGTGAGAGTTTGATGTCTATCATTATGGGGACGAACGATGCAATTCTGTTGTTGATTGATGCTTGTCCACAGTGTCTATTACAGTTTGGAAAGGTAAGTTGTCGCCTTAGTAATTCTTGTACCCAGCAGGACTACTCTGCCCAGTTGTGGCACCAGTGCTGAAAATGTCGACCAAAGCCTTAAGAAGTCAATAGCGAAACGTTGTATTTTATTTTCACTTTCAGGACCGTTTCTGCAGAACCGATGAGTGGAAATTCCTTATAGCTACAGTACAAAGAAGAATCTTAAGGTTATCACAAAATGGGGATTTGAAACGGGTGTGTTTTTTCCATAAGAAAATTCTCAAAGGTTAGTATGTTTTATTACTCTTAAACCCTCGGTTTCTATAAAACTGGGAATCGACTGGTGAACGTGGACGCCCGGAGAATCCGTTTGGACCTTCAAGTTTGTATATTTAGCAAGATTTAGTGTAAGACTTTGAAGATTTTTACTCTTTGCCCCCTTCCCCGAGAAAATTTGCCGACGGGGGGTAGCAAATTTACCCCCCGTTCTTCAAATTAAATATTCGAAATATAGTCTAATCATATTAGACGAAAATTCCCATGGTTGCGTAGACGTTATAATATTTGACGAAAAACTCTAAAGGGTTCAAGAAGGATGAAAACTATCCCCACCCCTACCTAAATAAAATTATAACAGAATTTTTCGGTAACTTTCCCGACGACTCTGTTTTTGTATTTAGTAGATCTTTTTATTTAGTTCATTTTTTGTCTGCTATAAAAACAGACCAGCTCGGATGGTTTTCGAGAAAGAAATGAGCTGCATCAAAAGGTTCCCAAACATCTTATTAATTCTTTAAGCGTAGTTAGCGAAAATAAACAAGTATGATATTATTTATTACAGTTCTATTTAATACGGGCATAGTGCGAATATTTCATAAAAGGTATTCAGTATGACTACGAGTCTCGTTCCTGCACACGTAACTGTCTCTAAGACGTCATTATTCTTTAATGTATTTGCAGCATTAAAAATCATGTCCCATAGTTGATTGGCGTTGTCTATCTGAACCTCGTATACCTTCGTTTTTAATGCTCCCCATATAAAAAAAATCGCGAAGATTAAGATCCGGGGAACGAGGTGGCCATTGAATAGGAGCTTCTTGACGTATACCAATCCATCTACCAACAAATTTCTCGTAAGTAATTTCTTACAGCTCGCGCAAAGTGAGATTTAACACAATCATACTTAAAAAACATGTCTCTTTTTATATTCAGAGGGAGTTCTTCCAATAATTCAGGTAAAACGCACTGTAGAAAATAAAGATGGCTATCTCCGTTTAATTTATTAGGCAACCTATATTATCCAACTAAAAAGTTACAAATAATCCCCATCTAACTGTTAATTTTAAATTCCCATTGTAAATAATAATAATAATAATAATATTTATTCGCCAAAATACAAAAAATGGGCAAATAAATATGAAAAAACCACAGAAGGCATCGCCTGTGTGTGGTTTATATCTTAATAACTAACAATCAATCATATATGTGTATAACAATTATTGTTAAATCTAAAAGGTATTAATGTCTTTCAGTCTTTCAATTTTCTTCTAAATTGTTTTCCAAAATTAAGTATCTTTATTTCGTTTTTTACTACATTATATAATTTAGCTGCTAAGAATTTAAACGATTTTTTGAATAATGTTTTGTGTGGTCTTTGGATATTAGATGAGCCTATTCGAAATCGTGTGTTATGCTCGTGTTCATAGGATTTTTTCTTTTTATTACAATACTTATGGTATAAGGTGGTGGCATGTAAGAAATAAAGTTGTCTTGTATCAAGTATCCCTGTTTCTTGATATAAGTTGTTCGTTGGATATAATCTTGGCTTATGGAAAATGGCTTTCAAAACAGTTTTTTGTGCTATATTCAGGTCAGAAATATATGTCTTGCAGGCGGCACCCCAGGCTGTGATGCCGTATATTATATGGGTTTCAACTAAGTCATGGTATAGGATTCGCAGATAACTTTCTGTAAGAATTTTAGCAAGCATTTTGAGTTTATAGGCAACATTTCTAATTTTTTGATAACACATTTAATATGGTTATCCCACCTTAGATGTGAGTCTATAAATATTCCAAGATATTTCAAAGTGTTAACTCTATCGATTTTGGTCTTTTGGCCATGATAATTAACGGAAATTTGTTCGAAGGTAGGTAAAAATTTTGAATAGGATGTAAATGCAATAAATTTTGATTTTTTGAAGTTAACTGTTAAAATTTTAGTATCAAACCAGTCAATGATCCTTATAAAATCCTTTTCAGCTATTTGCTTCAGTGTGCTCCAGTCATCAGCTTTATATAATACGAGGGTGTCATCTGCAAAACATAAAATCTTTCCAGAACTGTTAATTTTGAATAAGTCATTTAAGTAGAGACTAAATAATAGTGGGCCTAGTACTGTTCCTTGAGGCACACCACACTTGATGTACATTTTTTTACTGTAAGTGTTAGTGATTTTGACAGTCTCTGCCCGACATGAAAGGTAATTTTTTAAAAGGATTTGTGACGCTCCCCTAAATCCCAATCTTTCCATAACTTTCAGAAGCTCGACATGGTTAACCGTATCAAAGGCATTTTTTAGATCAACAAAGATACCAATAGTAGGTACCTTTTTGTTGACATTAGAGTTAATTTCATCCATTGCAGCCAAAATTGCATCTGTAGTAGATTTTCCTTTTCTAAATCCATATTGGTCAGAACATATAATTTTATTTTTGTCCAAAAATTGTAATATCCTTTTTTGTAGTAATTTTTCGAAAATTTTGGCTATATTCGATAGTACTGATATGGGTCTATAATTTGATGTTTCCATTCTGTCACCGCTTTTATAAACAGGAGTAATAACAGTTGTTTTAAATGCATCAGGACAAATTCCAGACTGGAAACACCAATTAATGACGTAAGAAAGTGGTTCGGCTAAGTCGTAGGCTATAATTTTTAAATGGTCGGCTTTGATACCATCTACACCAGGACTTTTTTTGGTTTTAAGTCTTTCTTAAACTGCATACGGATGTTCTTAGGCGTAAACATGTATGTTAAACAAATTTATCATACCACGTCTGGTAAAACTTGACTCATCTGTAAAAAAAGTTTCTTGTGAAATGTCCTATCAGGCTGCTCTGGATTCTGATACATTTTGTCCAAATCTCAAACGTGAGTGACGGTCACTAGGCAATAATTCCTGGACAGGCTCAGCGTGAAAAGAACGAAATAATTGTTGTTGTTGTTATTTAGCATTAATGCTACAATGTCAATTTTGTATAATGATTCGGTTACATATTTTTCTTCAATCCATTTTCTGTAATTTTACATTCTTGTCTATTAAAATTAAAATTAAAATTACGTCACTATGTATTTTGATTATTCATAAAGTGATTTTTTAATTTCACCTTAAACATTTTAAATTTGAACTCTGTTTAATATCATTATTCCATTTATTAAATTCAAATGATTTTTCAATTTGAATATGAAAACCAGAACTAAATAATATATGAAATTTTTCATATCCAACCACTGCAGCTCTGCTAACATAGACTTAATCCTAGCATATTTGTTTTTATTTAAAATGATTTATTTTGTAGAATTTGTAATTTTGAAAATATGTTTTCATTTGCTGTAAACAAGATGGTTGAACAATATAAAAAATGGGGAAGAATTATAGTGTTATA